ATGTTGTAAGGAGAGACAGGTCTTTAGAGAGGGACATCATGCTGGGTAGAGTGGAGGGACAGCGCAGGAGGGGAAGACCCTCTATGATGTGGATTGATTCAGTGACTGGGGTATCGGGATGGGTGTGTCAGAGGCGATGAGATTGGCACAGGATAGAGCACGGTTTAGGGCTGTTGTACATAGGGTCGCTATGAGTCACAAACGACTCGACGGCACATAAGAACAACAACAACTTGGAACACATTGTAAGAGGTTAATAGAAGTCATGATGGCACACTGGATAAAGCACTCAGTCATCTCAGAGGGTCAATAGTTAGTACCTATGAGCCCTTCAGTGGAGAAAGACATGTAGTCTGAGACTGTAAATATATTCACCTAATTATCTTCATTAACATCATCTCTCCCAGCCATGTGGGAAAAGAGAAAGCAAAGGTTTAGAAGCCCATTTTTAAAAATAAAAACAAAATGAAAAATCTACTGTATCACCTCTTTAAAATAAGGATATTTTTTCATGAATGATGCAGGTTAAATTCATACAAAGTGTGGAACATGGTGTGAGATACACAGAGATGGAGTAAAATAAAGACTTAACAAAAAAATATAGAAAATAAACTGGGGGGGTGGAGCAGGGATGACAACAAGCAGTTGCACTCTTTGACATTTATTCCATAAAAAAACAAAACTTACATTTATGTTCATACGAAAATTTGTACAGTAGCCCAAAGCATCAAATCCTAAACAAAAAGTTTATGTTTTCTGGTCAAACTGACTGGTCTAGTTATGGTGTATCTCTGCCATAGAGTATTACTGTGTTACACAAGGGAATGGATTACTGATAGACTCAGCAACTTGCAGGAAGCTCTGGTGGGGTAGTGGTAAGAAGGATCCACAAGCTCCTCCATAGTAGAAAGATGGACAGTCTCTTCCTATGTGATCTACTGCCCTGAAAATCCACTGGACAGGTATGATTCAGTGCCTACTCAATGGTACAATACACCAACAAGACAGCAACTTAGCTGCATATTGAGGGAATCACTTCGAGTGAAGGGGAAACAAAGCCAATTCGCCAGCTAGTATGCTAATGCTGTTGTCTACTCTCTTCTTGAGAGACAAACCCACCATCATCTTCTGAGAGTATTTCTCTTTCTTAATAAACTTTCCTCTCTCTCTATTCTTCTCTCTCTGTTGTACATCCTTTCTCCACTCCTACAATGTTCATTTTGGGAATGGACCTTGCTAGATTTTGCTAATCAACCAGATATGGTAATCTCCTAGTACCCTAACATTGATGCTGAAACCTGGGAATTTCCTTTAAAAAGAAGGAAAAAATATTACATGTTATATGACTCTCTTTCTATACCATTCCTGAATCTGGAGATTGGTATAATAGTTGATAGGAATTATTATTGAAGAGCAGGCAGGTGGAACAGGGAGTGAGGCTATAAACATGAGCTATGAGGGATTTGGGGGTGTGGAGATGTTCTGTATCTTGAATAGTCAGTGGTCTCATGGGTAAAGGGTACATGAAATCTGTCTGCATTATTTCTTACAACAACTTGGGAATCTTAAATTATCTCAAGATAAAAAGTTTCATTTTAAATTTGGCATTTTTTAAGAATACTTACTAAAATGTTGTTTTACACATTGTGATGAAACAAATGCATTCTACATTAATAGCCAATGTTGATTATGGAAAAAAGAAAACAATTGGCAACATTCATCCTGGTTCTCACCGGACCACTGGGCATCAGTATAAGACTGACCCTCCTTCTCTTCCTCCTATAGGACCTCCTGTTCAGCGTATGTGCCCTCAATGTCCTCTCCACCATCGTGTGTGCCTTGGCCACAGCCATGTGCTGCATGCAGATGGTCTCTTCAGATGTCCTACAAATGGTGAGTGTCCCTACTTCTTTCTAAATACACTCAGCATGATGGAACTAGTCTCCTCCTCTATCCAGTCCAAAACCAATGAATGTGCAGCTTCCATCTCAGGAAATAGAAAACGTGGGCCCTGGCTGTCCTTTGCACTTGGAGTTTCTCTCTGGAGGATGGATTACGGATATGGGTTAGTGCCCTCAGTGTGTTTAAGAGCTGTTGGAACTTGAGTTCTGCCATCTGCATGTACTTCCAGATGGCCCCTGGTATGTGACTCAAATGTTATTATAGAAAATCTTACAGTCCTAAACTCCTTTTGGGTCTTGCACCTCCAGAGCAAGCAAGAGTCTCTAGGTGGTGCAAACAGTTAACACACTATTTTGATGACCGAAATGCTGAAAGTTCCATCAGCTGTTCAAAACTCTCCAGAGCAGAGCAATACTCAGACATGCATGGCATCATCATGAATAGGCATCCACTCAATGGCAACTGGTGTAGCGTTGTTAGAAGATAAGTGACTTTTTCATCTGAGAACTCATCTGTTCTTTGTGAGTCAGAATAGACTGTTAACCTTTATAAAAGGAAAGTTTTTCTTGTGGTTGACTGCTTTATTGTTATTTCTCATGTAGCTACATGGGACTGTATCAATTCATTAAGGTATAGAACCAAAAGCTTCCTTCCCAATCTGTTAGAATTTCCTTGACTCTAATCACATGCTTCAAGCAGTCTTACTCTCTTGCACATAGCCACATAGCTGTCACAGCAGCCTACTTTTGGGAAGATAGCAGGTTTCTGAAAGGTGAGTCAGTGAAATGTTGGCTTTGTTCAGTGGGGACTTAAAGTCAGTGATTTCTTCTGTTGTGTTGCATATGTTAGAGCCAGGAGCTGCTCTCTCTTCCTTTCCCAGAACAGCCACAGAAATGCTCAAACCACATAAAGCAACAGCTGCAACTCTAACTATCTCTGTTAGGGCTGCAAAACTGTACCTTACTTTCCAAAATATAACTATCTACAACCTCCAGTCCGCTTCCCTATCTTGTACAACAAGCAGCTTTCTACTACCCACCCACATTCCACCCGGCCCACTTTCTTTCTCTGGGCTGTTCTCCACTTTGGAGTCAGCCTGGCAGTTTCTCCTCAGTAAACTTTCAGTCTTGGCCTGAACTGGGTTCTGTCCTTCCTCGGTGACCTTTCAGTGTACAAAGAAGGTTGCCGTGCTTCTCCAGCCAGCACAAAAGTGCTGTACAACAGAATGAACTACTCAAGACTTTAGTTAGTCAAGAGGTAAGACAAGAGGAATTTATGGTTGAGTGTCCCCTCCACCTGAAGTCCTCAGAACTTTTATTTGAGAAGTTTTATAAGAAGAAGAGCCTGTTGACTAAAGTCACAGATAAGATGCTATTTACTGTTTCTTGTCTTACTTGGAGATCATTCTTGTTTATAAGACCACATCCACTTCATAAATTTCGAGTCAGCAAGAGTTTTCTCTGAGTTAGCATATACACACACATAATTACAAAGAGGTTATTCTAATTTTACATTAACATGCTGACATTCATTCACTAATCTATATTTTTGTTTTGTTGAACAAATCACCATTTACTTTGGACTGTTTTCCACTATGCATTTAATAGTCTTCCCTTTAACAGAATTTTCTCTGATTACATATTCTCAATCCAAGCAACCTTTCATTTAGTTAGTTTAACTCCTACATAAGGTTAAGTATCACGGGTTTCTCCTAACACCAGCAGATTTTACTGTCAGACTGTACAGATCACATCTATTTATAATCCAGCAGAACTAAAAGGCCTAGATACTGAAAGTTTACATTCTCTTTGCTTAAGCATTAAAATTAATTTTGTGACTATAATATAGCAGAAAACTCTGGTGGTGTAGAGACAAGAAGCTGCACTGCAATCCTGAAAGCACATAGTTTGAGGGAGAAAGTTGGGCAATTTCCTCCTGCACGATTAACTGCCTCTGAAAACCTACTGGAGGTTGAGCTATTGGTCAGTTCTGACTCTATGGTATACAACAATAGCAATATAATATAGCATGTATTTCAGCATACATCTACAGCTATGACATTATTTATTGTGTGACAAGGGTGTGGGCCCAGAGAGGTGGTCTGAAGGCTGATTGGTCTGTATGCAAGGCCATGCTCTGCTTTGTGAGAAAGCTCTACAAACTCTCTGAGCCTCCAGACACCTCTAATCCTGACATTTGAGATGGACCTGATGGATGTGAATTCTCTGAACGTGGCCATATTCAGTCTTAAATGTGGATTTATTGTTAGGACATTGCAGGAATGTCTACTAGGTTGTGGTGTCTCACTGTATTTTATACTTTGTACCTACACTGAATATTCAGTCATTGAATCAAATCTGAATCATAGGTGACCATCCAGTGCCTTTGTAATGCTGTAAATCACATGGGAGGAGTTTGTCCATCTTTCTCCTGTGGAGCTGCTGGTGGATTTAAACTGTTTGAGAGATGCAGCTATTGAATTAGCACCACCCCTACAGACTGTCCTACTAGAGCTCCCTATAAACAGTAAAGGACTATATAAAACCTGTTACTAGCAAGGTGGCTTTATCTCATGTGGGTCATCACATAGAATGTCATAGAGCTTTCATTAAATTCATACTTAGTAAAATCCCATGTATGTCAGAATAAAAAGATCATATGTATATCAGAATAAAACTCCATAAAATTGCCATTCTTTCAAGACAATTATGAGATATCATCTCACCCCAGTAAGGCTAGCAAAATTTAACAGAACAGCAAGCAACAAATGCTAGTGAGGTTGTGGAGAAACTGGAACCCTTATTCACTGTTGGTGGGAGTGCAAAATGGTGCAACCACTGTGGAAAGCAGTGTGGCGCTTTCTCAAAAAGTTGCAAATAGAGATACCTTTTGACCCAGCAATTCCACTACTGGAAATATATCCTAAAGAGACCATAACTGACATCCAAGCAGATGTATGTACACCCATATTTATCGCGGCTTTGTTCACAATAGCAAGGAGTTGGAAACAACCTAAGTGCCCATCAACAAATTAATGGATAGAGAAGCTGTGGTATATTCATACAATGAAATACTATGCTGCATTGAAAAACAAGGAACTCATGCAATATTATTCCAAATGGGTGACCATGGAGAACATTATGCTGAGTGAAATAGTTCAGTCACAAAAGGACAAATACTATGTGGTGCCACTGTTGTAGAATGAGGCTGACATCAGGGTGCGGGTAAGACAGAGAAAAACTGGATAAATTATGTTTACTGCATTGAAGCCCATGAGGGAGGGAATAGTTGAAAAGTAGTATATTTTAGGGCATTATTATTATTATCATAAGAGTCTGGGATGAGGGCTGCAGAGTGGAGTATATGCGGCATGAAGATGGGGGTGGGGGTATGCGGAGGGATTGTACCAATGAAGGAGTTTTTCTTTTGCTTTTCAAAGAGAAGAGCAAACTGGGAGTGGGGGTGGGGTGGGCGGGCAGAAAGGTGCAACTATGAATGAATGGAAAGCCAAAATCTCTGTAGATGTTCACTGAAATTAATAAAAAAAGCCATTCTTTTTCATTTTTAAAAATAATCCTTCCTTTTTGTTTTTATCTCTCACCAGAGTGTGAATTCCATAAAACCACAAGTCCCATGTGTAATACCCATTCCTCTACGATCAACAGTTTCCACATTTAGGACATACTCAGCAATCTCTAATGTGTGTGCGCGTAGAACTGCTCCAGAGGCTGCTCAGTGGCTGAGTTTTCAGAAGGTGACCTCCAGGTCTTTCTTCAGGACGCCTCTGGGTTGGCTTGAACCTGCAAACCTTCGACTTAGAAACTGAATAAATTGATTATTTGCACATCATAGGCTGTTGATGAATCTTCCATCAATCCTGATGCTACATTCTTAAAATTTACTTAGCATGTATTGAATAGGTTTGGTGAAAACATAAAACTTGATACACACCTTTTCTGATTTAAATCATGCTATATCCCCATCTTCTGTTTTGAAGTGTTGTTTCTCAGTCTATGTATAAGTTCTTTATGAGGACAATTAAATATTCTGGAGTTCCTGTTCTTCTCAATGTTATAAAAATTCATTATGATCCAGACATTGAATGTCTCTTTACATTAAGTGATCAATAAAATTCAAGTCATCATATTTCTGGTGGTGATTTTTTTTTTTTGGTCAAGATCCATTTTATGTCGGCAGTAATGCCCTCCTCCTGTTACCTGTACTGAAAGCTTGACTTTCTTTCAATTTACTATTGATCCACTGCTCCAGCTATTTTTAAATTACTTTAGCAATATTTTACTTATGTGTGATAGTAATGATCATTGCTACATTGTTATCTTACACATTTGATAATTTCTTCATTATTTTATAGCTTTTACTTGTGTCTAATATTAATGATAATATTTGCATTATGGTATTATTATATGCATTAAATAATTATGCTGGGTTACTTTTTTTGAGGAGTGGGCACAAATACAGATTATCTTCCAAATATTTTCTCAGGTAGCTGCCTTCCTAAATGAGTGAGTATGTCTAGGGATGCATTTTAAAAAAATATTTCAATTCATAGTCTACCAATTCCTGGAGACTTAGTTTTTACCAAATACTTTCACTGCAGCCTGGACTTGTTCCTTCAGCATCATCTCTGATATATGCAAATCCATTGATACAGTTGCTGTGTCAGTACATGCTCTTGAGGGTCTTTCTCTCTTTTAGTGACCCTCTGCCTTTCTATTTGTGATGTATTTTTCCCAAGACTGGCCCTCCTAAGAACATGACCAAAGTATGTGAGACAAAGATTAGATATTCTCACCTCTAAGAAGCATCTTGTTTGTATTTCCCCAAGATAATATTTATTAATTTGACAGACCATGGAATAAACAACACGTTTATCCCACATCACGATTAAAAGATATTTTTCTCTGTTATTTTTATCACTGTGTCTCAGCTGTATAGCAAGTAAGTGAAGATCACATCACTTGGATCAGGTT